TTTAGTAATTATTTTTTATGTGAATTTTAATGAAAATCAATAAAGTTTTGCCATTTTTGGCATTAATTTTAAATCGGGCGTCACTTTCGGACGTGACTGTACATAACATAATAATATTTAAAAATTTAAAACATTCTACCGTTCGTTAATGATAATCCGAAATCGTAACCGGCATGTGTAACCGGTGTAATGCCGTAATTTACTTAGTAAAATCAATTATGGGGCGCAGTTTGACATTTAGAATTAGTGTATAAATTTTTAATAGTTTAAAATTGTATGACATTTAAATGTCGTTAAACTGGTAGATCATTTTTAAAGTATTATATCAGGTGATTAGGATTATCAGGTGATTCAAGTTGCAGATCATTTCGAAAGAGAACATTCATATTTGGCAAGTGATTTGAAGGTTAAAAAACGAAGGAAAATTTAAAATTTCAAAAACATGAAAAATGATAAGTACTGAAGTAGACAGTTCGTTTGAAAATAAAATTTTTGGAAATTAAAATTTTTGGTTTTGCCACAAAACATAGTGTTAGAAGGCGCAGGATACTTCTTGGAGAAAGTATTTTTAGATTTATATAAATAGTAGCAAATTTGAACTTTGTGAAAATCCATGGATACGAATTTGGGATTTATTTAGATAAATATTTAGGTTATATTTAATATTGTTAAACCAAGCATATATTGTATTTATTTATATTATTAATAAAGAATTATTTAAGGTGATTTATAACGGGCTTAGGTCTTACACTGGCAAATAAAGTGATGCTAGGATCGTTACTAAATGTAAATGTCACATGATCGTCGATTATTACTCGTATGTACAGTGTTGTTGCCATACACAGAAATTGTGGTGTATGTACTCTGATAAATATTTTGTTGTGTATTACAGTCTTTAAATAAAAAAAAATGGCAATACTACAATGGAATGGAGGTCATACAAAACTCTAATATAAATTATATAATTACAATGAGCTCTTAATTTATTCATATTTTTTGGACTTAGTGTTTTTTAGCGAGAAATAAAAAATGGAAGGAAATTCAAACCAGGTGAATAAATTTTGTACGAATATTGGATATTTTGTTTAATTAAGATAATTAATAAGCTTACTTTATATTACAACTATATATAGAATGGAAGTTCATCATCTGGTAAAAGTTCCATCGAGTTCAGACTACCTCTGCTTGAAAACATATCCAATACTAATTGTATCCTTCTTGAGTTAGAACAAGATGGATTTATTACACCTGATAAAAAGGCGGAAGAACTTATTAAAAATTTATCAAAATTAAAATATCTATTCGCTCTTAAATTACTTTTTGAAAATCCATTTAACCAATTTTCAGATGAAGTTCTTCGAAATTCTTTGGTTGCATTAGCAGATCCGACGCATTTTGATTATTATGGAAAACAGAGTATGATCAGACTAGAATTACATATTCGTACCTGGATTGCTGTGTTGGAAAAGATTTGTGTAACACCAATGCGTTTAAGTAAAAAGCTTCGAGATAAAGCTTATAGCTCTTTAGCAAAATTTGCAGAAATTCATAAAAAAACAACTCAAGTAATGCAAGAAGGAATTGATAATAATTTTAGGTCTGGATTTAATCAATTCAATCAATTACATGATAATAAAGAAGATAAAGGTATTATAAATAAACAAAATTATAATATTGACTTCTTATTAATTCATTTACGAGATACATTACATAGTTTACGTGATGATGAGACTTGGTTTCAAGAAATTATACGAAGAACCAAGGAAGTACTTAAGACTGCATTGAATATTACACCAGGAGTCTTATCAACACTAGCACCCGGGGTTCCTCTTCCAAATGATAATTGTTCGATCTTATCGATGCTCACTCAATTACGTAAGGGATTAAATTTTAAATATCCAGTAGCGTCTTATTATATAGATTGGAGAATTATGTTGATAATTCAACATAATTTATTCAACTGGTCTGGTGGTACTGAAAATATAATTAGTAAAAAATTTCAAGAAATGGTATTAATGGAATATTTTTGGAGTTATCTAGAAAAAGAATGGAGTAACGTTTCTGAAAATTCTATTTTAGATTCTCAATCAAAATTTGATGAAGTATCAAATAAACTTGTTAAAGTTTTAAGAAATACTGGAAGTTTCATCAATGGTCTTTCTGAAAATGAACCTCTTGCTTTACCACATACTTTATGGTTTGGAATATTAGATCTTGCACAAAACCTTATTCAAAGATCCACTCTAAAATCCACTCATGGTCTTTGTTATTATTTAGCAATTGAATCACTTAACAGAGCTCCAAGCAGTTTCATTCAATTTAAAGCAATTGAAATATTATTTCATTTACATAATATTAATAATCAAATGTTTTCATTGATTGAAATTGATTTTGATCAATACGTTCAAAAATTGAATGGTAACAGTTCAACAACAGAATCTTCAGAAAAATTCAAAAATTTATTAACATTTGTTAAAAAAAAATGCACAGATGAATTCAATCTATTAAATTATAATATTGAAAAAGGAAAGGGAAAGGGAAAAGAGAAAAATACAAACTTAACGAAAAACATTTCAAAATTGGGTGAAATTTTAGAAATGATTGCAAATGAAATGACTTGCCCAATTGGTCATGAACCAACAGACAAATTATGTGTTTTAAAATGTCAACATATATTATCATTTAATAGTTTAAAAAAATTGAAACAAAAAAATTGCCCTGAATGTAGAGAAAATATTGAAGATAATGATATTAGATATTTACCACAGAATGTTATTTACAAACATTTGTATTCACAATTTTTTGAATCAGGACATATTTTACCTTCAACTGAAAAAGAAGATTCAACAAATATTAACCATTATGATAGTGATTCAAGTGATTCAGAAGTTGATCTTATATTAACTAAGAAAAAGAAATTTCTAAAAGTAATTAAATTTAATTCAAATATATCATTAAAATCAATATTTCAAATTGGAAGAAAACGGCATCAAACATATCTAAGTGCTATTCGAGAATTAAAAGAAAAAAATTATAAAAATGCTGAACATTGGTGTAAAGAATTCCTTAAAATATTTCCGAAAAGTTATTCCATGAGATGTATTTTAGCTTATACTTATAGATGTCTTAATGATTATAAACAAGCATATTTATATATAAATGAAGCTATTAAATTAAAAGGAATAAAACCAATTGCTTGGCATATTCGCGGAGAAATACAATTTAAACAAGGAAATTATAATGATACAGTAAGAGATTTAACATATTGTAATGTTAAAACAAGTAATTCATATACAATGCTTGGAATTAGTTATTATAATAATAATTATAGTGAATATGCTTTAAAAAATTTTAACATTGCATTACAAAATGATCCTGATAATTATTTATGTCTTAAGTATTGTGCTTATATTTATGAAAAGCAAGGAAAATTCTCAGATAATCTAAAGATGTTAGATAAATTGCTCAATATTGATGAGAAAGATTCATTAATTTTATGTTATTATGGAGAAATTCTAAGTAAAATGGAAAAGTATAATGATGCTATATTATATTTTACAGAAGCAGCTAATATAGATCCAGAAAATATTCATATTTTAAATAGAAGAGCAATAGGATATTTTGCTCTTCAAGAATACAAAAAAGCTTTATCAGATTTTAATAGTGTCATACAGTTGGATAATTCAAATATTTTAGCATATTATTGTAAAGGATTAATATATATTATAATAATGGAAGATAATAGTAATTCTATGGCAGCATTTAAAAAATGCGTTGAATTGGATCCTAATAATGATATAGAAAAAATGTACTTGAAAGATTCAAGCAATTATCTTTCTCAAATTTCTAATATTGATTATAATTTAAAGTGTTCACCAAATTATCATAATCTTATTGCTGAGATTAACCAATTTGCTAATGTTAATCAATCCACTAATATTAATAATCATGATAAATCATTACTTTTTATGAGATGCAAAATAAATATTGAATTAGAAAAATATGAAGATGCAGCATCAGATTTAGATAGATTGTTTGTTCCAAATGAAGATATCTTATTAGTTTATTTATTACAAAAATATTCAGATTTTTGGTTATACTTATGTAAATCATATTTTAATAACTTTGTTCAACTTGGAATTACTAGTAATTATTTTGACCTTTATATGTATAGAGGTAAGTACATTCAAATTTAATAATATTCTGTAAACTAATCACTGCATTTTAATAGAATCAATTATTTATAGAACAAGGGATTTATTTTATGTCCAATCTTATGAAATTTAATTATAATTATCAATTTCAAAAAAGCAATTTAAATAGGTAAATATTTTTATAATAGTACTATTTATGATTTAGATAATCATATATAAATTAATGATTCTAATAATTTGTTTTCAAGGCGTACATTATCTCTTAAAAACAATTTAAGATTACCCAAATTTTCTATTGCTGATATTTTTCCCACTGAAAAAAATTGCTATGACATAATTTGGAAAATAAATATCAAAAAAATAATTTCATCAGACTGTTTTATTAGATTTGTAGTTGAAAAAATTCCAGTAAGTGTAATTAACAACTAATATTTTCTTTATTTAATTTAATTAGTTAACAACAACTAATATGTGAATAATTCTATAATTTCAATTAAGATTTATATGGAAAATAGAGAAAAAAAACATGTCTTAACATATGAGGATTTATTAGAACTTGAGGGATTAGGTTGGATTTTATATGTGCCATTACGCTCCATATACCTAAATAAACATAATAAAATACAACTTTCAATTGAAACAAAAAAGGATTCTATTGACATGGTATGCAATTTTATTCTCATTCTTTCAATATGCACAGTATACATGACAGAAAATAACATTGTCATTCCTTTATTTTCTATAGCAAATAGAATATGTAAGAATTATTCCCAATTGTGATCGTAAAGAAAAAATTTATTTTCCTAAAATGGATCATTTAATACCGTCTTACACAAATAACATTCCTGAAACTTTTAAAGACAAGTATTTTTTAAGGAAAGAAACAGAAAATTTGCTTGAATTAAAAGATATTATTAGTAGCTTATAAATTATAATTAGTTACACTATGTACTGTATATTAAATATCATCTCTAATAAATATTAAAAGTGGTTATAACTTATTTGTTTATATTTACTAGGAAACGGGAACCGTTGTAAGTCCGGAGCGAGGTATAATAAATAAAGATGTAGCGATATTCTACTAATTAGCAGCATAACGCCTTGGAATTCCGGTAATTTTCTGCTGATTAGCAGCATAACGCCTTGGAATTCCTGGACAGAGAAACTCACGTGATTGAAAATTTACACGTTATTTCCATAGATCATCATAGTGCGTAAACATATATAGTCCTTCGCTTCGCTCCGGACAATAATATATAAGTCGCAACAAGGTTAGAGTTAAACGTTAAAAAATTTATGCTTAGGCCAGGCAAAAAAAATTTTTAGATTCTCGTGACATAAAATTTTAAAAATGACCCGGCCGGCCAGCATTTTTTTTTACAATTTACATATGTAAAATTTTTTCATATGTAAAATTTTTTTTACGCACATTGGCCAAAAAGTAAAATCACGTGATAAAAATTTTTTACTATAAAAAAAAAATTTCCATTTTTCGAACAACTGACCCGGCCGGGTCACGAGAATCTAAATTTTTTATCACAAATAATTTGAATATATATACAGTATATATGAGAAGAAAAATTTCCTTTGCGTAAAATCAATAAATCAATAAATCCGAAAATGTAAATAACCTTAATCAAATAATTAAAATAAATAACAAATTTTGAGTTTTTAGTCAGTAAGTAACAATTTTATACAAAATTTATTGAACTTGTTTATTTTTTAATATTTACTATTCTTATAATTCAAAACAATATTAAATCATTAAGGCTGCTCCAATTTAATAGTTTGTTTAACGTCCTAATTTTATATAAAAATTGAGGGGGGGAGGGGGTCAAATTAAGTAAACATTTAAAAATAAACATAGTTTTTTCTTTATCACTCAATGCATTTTTACTAAAAATACATCTTAATTTATTACAGATAATGCAATTAATAAGTTTACATATATTACTTTTATTAATTATACCATTTTCTTTGGTAGATTCAATTACACTGGAAAGAAATTCTTTTAAATATTATACATATTGGTGATGTTATTATAAGTCACGTGATATAACATATGTTTGTTTATTTTTAAAAATTTTTCAAAAATGAGGGGGGTGGGGTACGTTAAACAAACTATTAAATTGGAGTGGCCTAAACTTCATAAAAACAAGAAGCTAATTAATAGTATTTACAATTTGGTTATACAATATACATTATACGTTTTTATGTATGTGACACATGATTTTTAAGTTTAAAAAAAAAAAATAGCGAGTTTACTTAATTTTTTCAATCCCAAATTTTAAATTTTACACTCTACAAAAAAGAATGCAGTAGAAGGAAATTCAATCCACATTAGGAATTTAAGAATTTTTTTAGGCGTAACCCTGTGACGGGGCGTAAACTTAGTACGTAAATTTGTGTAAATATGCGTAAGCTTGTAAAGTTTTTGTAAATTTCTTATGAAAATTTACGTGAACTTGTGTAAACTTACGCATCGCAGGTGAATAAAAATTAAATATTTTTATAAATTATATTATGGTTATACATTAATACGAAAAAATTCGCCAACGCGCTTAAATATAATAATTATATCTTAACCTATTCAATCAATTACAGGATGAAAAAATTGTTAAAATTTAAATATTGGCTACTTTTACAAGTCATGTTACATAGTTTACGTGATGACAAATAAATATTTCTATCAATAATAGCGCCTGGAATTACTATTTTAAACGATAATTGTTTAATCTTATCAATTTATATCAAGAATTAATTTTATTTACCTGGTAGGGTCATATGTAATATTGTTATCAAGCTGAAGTAAATTATTTCTTGTTAATACTCTTGATATGTAAAATGTCGCAAGTCACAATTCATAACCACTTATTTTAACTCCATCTGCTAATAAACAAATTTAACATTTATTGTTAATGAATTAAAAAAAAAATGGTCGTAAAATTCAGCTATTGGCTATTACTATCTTTCAAGTTCGTTTCGTATATAAATAATTCTTAGTAAATACTTTCCGTAAATTCCAATTCGTACTGTAAGTCCAGAAAGTTAAATAGTTGCGAACTATATGAACTAGAAAGTCCAAAAATAAGATTGACCATAAATGTATATTCTTCCTTTATTATATAAATGTATTTGTATTATACTTTTAATTTTTTCCATTTATACTGACCGAAATGAAAATAGAATGAACGCATATTTATTAATAATATATTTTATGTTAATACTAAAAATGTTCTTACAATAATATTTTTTTTTTATCAATAAAAAAATTCACAGAAATTTTAAATATGGGTATACTTACCATCGGAATTAAATTACGGCATATGAAGCTTATACCGTAATATATTAAATCGTCGTAATGCCGTAATTATTTAATGTCAAAAATACAAAAATTACACAAGGTAAGTAAATATTTATTTTCTGGTTATGCCGTAGATAATTTGTAATCCGTAAATCTATAATGCTGGTCTTGATGATTTGTTAAATATTAAAATGCCGTAATTTCGATTCGGCAAATTCCGACGGCATCTATAAATATGGGTAAGAACCATAATAAATGATAAGGAAGAAATAAAGAGAAAATCAAAAGAAGTAACGAAACAATGTTTAATTTAGCACCAATAGTCCCCAAATAAATAACCATTACTAAAATACGGCGAGAATTAAAAACAGAAGTAAGAAATTTTAGAAATTTTCAAGTAACGAACGAGAACTTGAAATACAAAAAAGATCGGACCTTTATTTTCCTAAAAATCGAAAAATTTAAATTAATATTATACAACTGGAGGAAGGGTAATAATTTGTGAGAGTCATCATTATTATTACGTTGCATAATTATACAAAGAATTTAACGATAAACAACTTCTACATTTGATGATACAAATTTGGGATGTAAATAATTACAAGATTTATCCTATTATTAAACTATACTTGCCGCCATGCACTTACTAATTTTCAAAGTTTAATCATACGCTAAAAATACCTGCAACTAGAGCGGAGTATTTAATGGGACGAGTATGAGATATTATTGAGATAGTTGAGATACATATACGTATATATAGTATATGATATATTATTTACAATTTTATATTAAAAATTATGATATAAACTTTTTTTAGTTCAACATCCATTTATATTATTTAAATAGAAATAAATATATAAATTTTTTTAAAATTAATTATCCAGATTATAATATCGACGACTTCTTGCTAAAAAAAAAAAAAAATCCTGCAAAGGTACTTAAATAGACTTGCAAATATAGTGAATATAGTAAATCCGTCTAGTGATGCTGATTATTGGGAATTACGTAATTAAAAAATATTTCCATTTAGCAATTAGAATATACAGTATCAGGTATCTGCACGCCAATCTTTTGCAGATCACGTAAACTCGTGTCAATCGTGTCATCATAAATATTCATAATAAGTATCCGAAAATAGCCAAGAAAAAAACTCCGAGATTTGCGTACGATCATATTTTTTTTTTTTTAGAAATCAACATCAATAAACGTCACATACATATAAGGACATAAATTTCCAAAATGTATTAATCCATATTCAGGGTACGACTTTACACTATTTTTTTATAGGTAACTTTAATTTGTGCGAGGTTCAGCCACGACAGCCCAATATCGGCCGATCAACGTATTGGGCGGCAAATCACATGCTTTTTTTAATTTTAATGAAACATTTTGTTTGTTTTTATTGAACAAATACTTCTAATTTTGGTCTGATCGCCTAATTTTTAAGATCTATTTTTAGTTGAGATGTTTATTATGTTTGTAAAGCAGAAAAAAAATATACATAAATAATACAAGTGCCCAAAGGAAGCACAGAATCAAAACAAAAATCTCTTTTTTTTTCACATTTTCATTTTTTTTTTTTTTAAAAAAAAAAGAAAAGGGAAATTTTTTCTTTTTACTATAAAATAAAAAAAAAAATGAATACGACAACTCATATTCCTAATGATATTATTCGAGAAATAATTTCACATATAAATTCAAAAGATATTAATACGTTATATTCATGTTTATTAGTTAATCGTACATGGTGTGAACATATAATTCCATTATTATGGAAGTATCCATTTAATATAATTAAGAAAAATCCAAGAAAACTTGTAACAATTTATTTTAATTATTGTGATGAACAAACAAAATCTATTACTCGTACCGTAAATCATAATAAAACACTCATTAAATATCCTTCATATCTTCAAAAAGTTTCATTCATGAAGATTTATGATGCAATATTAGATTGGGTATTATTTAATAACGATAAAACTGAGAATAATGAAGAAATCAAAAGTTTTCCATCAAAAAAAGATCAAATATTTTCAATTATGTTATCAAAGGAAATGTTAAAAATGTTTTTAAATAATTCTCCACTTTTAGAATATTTAAAAATTGATATTTCAAGGGAATTAAGAAGACGAACTCGTTGTGAATTTATTTCATTTTCTTCTTCTTTAAATATTAGTTTAAACAGATTAAATACATTACATTGCTCAAATGATAATGCAAATAATGAAATACTTAAAGTAATAGCACAATCAACAACAACGATTAAGAATATAATCATTTTCGAAAATGATGATTGGAATAATGATAATGTCGGCATTGTAAATTCAACTATCAGTAAATTAATTAAAACTCAACAAGGAATTGAAAGAGTGACTATTAATCAAGTTAGTAAAGGAATAACTGAAATTCTTTCTTCGCTTAAATCTCAAAAAAATACTTTAAAAGAAATTCATTTTAATCACGTATCATTTGGTAAAGATGAAAATGCCTTAAAATATATTTCCGATTTTAGTGAAAATCTCAAAGAACTTAGATTTAGAAATTGTTATAATTTAACCAATAACGTCATGAAAGAATTATTAAGTATTGAATTTCCTAAATTAATTTCATTAGAAATTAATAATGATGATTATTTTTCAAATACTGAAAATTATCCCACGAAAGAAATTCTCGAATTAATTAAAAATCTAGGAAATAATTTATCCGAATTAATTTTAAATACGTCATCACTTTCAAACTCAATATTTCATCATATTAAAAATTATTGTAATAATTTAACCACACTTGGATTGGATATTGGTTACAATCAATTATTACTTTTATTTGAATTATTCAAATCATTAAATAAATTAGAAAGATTTATCGTACAAAGTGATGGTGGTTCAATTCATATTGATAATTGGTTGAAAAAAATTCCTCAATCCATTACTTCACTTGAAGTAAATGGTTGGATTATTTCTCCAAATGGATTAAATGATTTTTTGAATATTAATAGAAATAAAATTAATATTCTATCTTGGAGATTACCTACAAATGTGAATTTTAATGATTATTCTAATATTATCGATAATTATATTATTAAAAATAATCTTTATTTTGTTAAAAGTTTACAAAATCATTATCAAAAAGGTCAATATTGGGATGAAGTTAGAATAGAATTCATTTAGATGCGTAACGCGGACAAGTATATTCCTAAGCTGAAATTTATTTAGATTTCCGTATAATTTATTTATTTAGAACTTTTAGAATTTTTATTTTCGTTATTACTTATTTATACTTATATATAGATCTTCGTTAATATTTATATTTATACTTTATAGATTTTCGTTAATATTTTAATATCGTCCGTTTATATTATCATTTCATGTTTCATGCTTTTTTTTCGTAGATAGAATTTACAAACAACACGCAAATCGTATCTGTTTATTTATTTATTTGTCGTTTTAATATAATACATATAATACGTATAGAAAAAATTTCACTAACACTACAAACATCACATCACAAACACCACACACAAACGCAAGCAAAAATTAAGATTTAGCAAGATAAATTTAATAAAATTTAATACTTTAATAATTGTTCATTAATGAATGACGCTCGCTCTGCTGATCTTCGGTACTTTTATGCCTGTAGATCAGGTGAAAATCAGGAGATCAGCAGCGTATAGTCTGTAATCATATATACTATAATTGTCCTTTTTTCGTATTTTTTCAAGTAATAAAAATAATAAAATGAAATTGAACTCAAACCAGGTAAATCAATATAGCTTACAATAATAATTTATATAGTAGGTAGAGTGGAACAACTCCACGAAAATAACTCTGTTGAATCCAAGGTGCTTCTATCAAACATTTATCCAATAAATAGACAGAATACTGCGGTCGGTCGTCAGTCATTAGTAATATTGCGGTGATCAATAGGAACTAATACACATTTCATTATAAAATATCAGTCATCGAAACAATAACTAAATTTAAATGTCCATTCGCCCCACTTAATTAGTTTTCACAAACGCAACATTATACTTGAAATTTCATAGAGAGTACCTTAAACTATCTAATAATGAAAATGATCATTGGAGTAACTACTTGATTTTTTAAAATGTTTTTTTTTTCGATTAAATAAAATTTGGTAAATATTTATTTGATAAATTATCAATAAAATATTTGACGAGTGTATGCTTTCTTAGAAATGCTGCTTAAACGAACAAATAAATACAATATCATATAAATATCACTGTGATACATAATGAGTAAAAATTTCTAGATTATAGGTTCACGTGAGTAATTTTTTTTTTTTGGTCAGACTATTTATCTTACCTTGAAAAAAAAAATCTCCATTTGAGACTAACATTGTTTATACTATTGTTGTAATTCAACTCCCTTGAAACAAATTTCCATCATTGCTTGTTTGTCATATGATCTGTCTTATCTAATTGATTATAAATACGCCCAAATCAATTCTTTTGAAAATTTTTAAAATTCTTTTTTTAAAAAAAAAAAAAAAATACAAAAATATGGTAAATAATTTAATCAAGATATATATAAAAAAATTTTTTTTTTTATTAATAAAAATTTAATTTAATTGATTTAGGCAACACCATTTCTTATTGGAGTAGGGATAGGAACAGCTGGTAGATTTTCGATAAAAGCTACACAGAAATATAAACCATCAAGAACTATTAGAAGTGTATATTATAAAGGAGGGTTTGATAATGAAATGAATAAACGAGAAGCTGCCTTAATTTTAGGCTTAAAGTATGTTTTTTTATTAAGTAATTTTATTTATTTAAAAGCAATATATTTTTTTATTAACAAAGAAATTTTATAAATAGAGAAAGAGATATTAATAGAGCTAAAATTAAAGAGGCTTATAGAAAAACTTTGATGCTTAATCATCCTGATAAAGGTGGTTCTCCTTATTTAGCTAGTAAAATTATTGAAGCTAAGAATTTTCTTGAAAAAGTTGTTAGAAAATAATGAAAAATATTTGTCTTTTAACAAAAATTTATATTAATAATATATAATACAATAGATTTAGCTTTTCAGATATTAATAGAGCTAAAATTAAAGTGTCTCATAGGATAATTAATTGTGCATTCTGATAGAGGTTTGTTTTCCAAGTAAAATTAATGAAGCAAATAGTACTCAAATAGTTTTCGATTATTAAACAATCTATACTTAAAACAAATGTTTGCGAAAAAAAGTTTATACAGTATATTAGAAAATAATTATTTTAACTTTGGAAAGTCTTCCAATTGTTAAATGTGATTAACTACAGTTCGTGATAATGAAAAATTTAATAACTGAAAAAATGTATAAAGTTAAATGATTTAAATTTACTTTTGGAACTTTATTTTTGCGATAGTATATAAAAAGTTTTAAAATAAGCTATTTGTTTTACTTCGAGTGAGGAAAATCATATACTATATATTTATATTCAATATGATTTCAAACGTTTCTATATCAGCAATAAAAATGTAAATTATACAAAATCACGTGATTTTTAGACGCCCCCAAAAAATGTAAAATTTGACTAAGGACTTAAATAATTACGAATTCGGCATAAACTATTACTAATTAATCTATCTACAAATCAAAGTTTATAAATTTTTTTCTTCAATTTTTCTAATATATGATCCAAATCAATTTTCATATCTTCAAATTCTTCAATATCTATAACTCTTTTAATCAAATCATCAGTATTCTCACCCACTAATTTAATATAATCTTCAACTATCATTTTAATATTATTATCATCATATGTTAAAAGTGAATATTTGTCACAATTTGTTTCTTTATAAATACTACTTAACGCAAGTGTAGAGTTGATTTCAAAATTTTTATAGATAGGTCCCTTATCATTATCACTTCTTGTATTATACCACTCTTCAAAATAGTCAGCTTTACTAAAGAAATAAATATGTTTTGGTTCAAGTCCAGGTTTCGAAAAATAAATATGTAATGCTTCATAATCTGATATGAAATTTGCTTTGTGCCTTAATAAAATTTGTCTACTTTTAGCTATGGTATCTTCATATACATTACTAAAAAGATAGTAAGCAGTTAAAGTGAATATCGAATAAGTTGTATTTGCTAAATTATTGAATAAAATTACCTCATATAAGCAATCACCATATTTTGTAAAACGATTACAAGAAGTATGCTAGCAATCAAAGTAAGTACATCAACAGCCCAATAATCAAACTCATCTCTTTGAACCCAATTACCATTAATCCAAAAATATGTAGCCATCATTGCTTTAGAAAAGGATGTGAACGGATTATCATTAGACGTAGGATCAAAATTAGTTGTAAGATCAATATGAAGTGTCTCATTTGTTAAAGTATTTGTAGCATTTCCACTATATGTAGTAGTATCTTTGATCATAATATTCGTAGGATTTCTGAGCAACACAAACCTACATAAAATTAAATAAAAAAAGTTAACCTTAGTTAAATCTAAGATGAAATTAATGAATCAGAAAAAAGTTTTTACATTGTATGTGCAAATGCGAATATCACAATTAAAATAAACAAAAAGAATGGAAATATGGTTTTGAAGACAATTATGACATGATATACGTAAATTCCAATGACTAACAAGTGGAAAAGAATAGGTTAATCAATAATATAATGATGTAATAAAATAGTAACATTTTTTTATATTAATTTTGTATTTTACCTGGTATTAGCCGAAGATAGAGAATCTGAAATTATTAAAATAGTTAATTAATTATTCTTATGTAAAAGCTTAAATAATCACATACAGATCAAAGTTACCAATTCAATCCAAAGCAAAAAAATTGAGAATGATATCTCCACAACTAAACTAGTTTCCTTAACACTTCCATAACCATCAGAAAGCTGAAAATCATCAAGCATCATCGACATTACCATTACAGGAAGTATAATAGAAATCATATCAAAATTGTTAAATAAGTCAAGAATATATTTTTTAGGTCCACGATAACGAATCTGTTTCACTTCAATAATAAATAGATAAATTGCCAAATAATAGAATACAATAATCAAAACTAATAAAAAATTTCCATTTACAATAAAACCACGATTCAAATATGCCCAACTAACTAACACAAAACAAATGGCAAAAATGAGAAAACGAAGGAAGAGAAAATACAAGGAATATTTTGTTTTCCGCCAACGAAAATTGATAACCGCTTCAATTGCTGGATTGTCATAAATATAATCATTATTCTCATACTGTATCATCCTAGTAAAAGGACTCAACTTATTCGTTTCATCCTGTTTGATTTGGCGCGGTGGTGGTAGAAGTATAGAAGAAAAATGATTTAAAATGTTTCTAAATAAGTTATACTTTTTTTTGGCCATTTTAATGTTATTTAAAGTAAAACCAGGAAATGGGACAACTCGTAAAGCTAATGGTGATTTTTCTTCGAAGTTTCCATATCCTTCGAATTTATTTATTAAATCTTCAAATTTCTTCCAAATATCGTACCACTTAAGTTTAACATCAGACTTCAACTTAACTAAAGGTATCAAAGTTTTAAATTTGGTGTCACTATTGTAGTCTGAGTATCCTTTTGGAAGAATTTCGTCAGGATCTTGACCCGAGAGACCCTGATCCGTAAAACATCTGATAAATAACTTTCTGGCAAAATCGTCTAAGTTTCATGTAAAAAAAATTTATAAATTTCACAAATTTTGGATGAAAATAAAATTAAAATTAAAAAAGAAAAACGAACCATAATTATATTCAAATAATAAAGGAATTGCCTTAGAAACGGTACACATCCAACCTACACAATTCGTAGGATTTCTAGAGTAATATTCCAAAAGATAAGCAACAATAATCGCATCTTTAAGCTCACGGCCTATAAATAAAATAATGTTATTTTGATTATAATCAATAATATTGCATCCTGAAGTTAGATTTACCTCTACAATAATAAATTGCTAGTTCCATATTATTTTCTGGGATTTTTAGCTTATGATCTCTTTTGCCGCCAAAGTTAAAATCATCATCCTTTAAAAACTTTTTTCCTGGCCATGATTTATTACTTGGTACATGTCTGTAATCAATTTTATCTTTGGCGGTTTCTTCATATCCAAATAATATAAATTTTATTAAACGATCACAATCAGCCAGTATTAAACTTTTCATAAGATTATATCGAATATCTAATAATCTGAAATTTTCTGGTTCATATTTAGCAAATCTCCAGATTATATGTTCGATATAGTTAGATACTTATTAATAAGAAGCGTTAATGAGTGTTAATAATATTATTTCCAAAAANAAAATAATGTTATTTTGATTATAATCAATAATATTGCATCCTGAAGTTAGATTTACCTCTACAATAATAAATTGCTAGTTCCATATTATTTTCTGGCTTTTTTGGCTCTATTTTGAAAAAGTCAAGGTATTTATTTTTACAATAATAAATTGTTAGTTCCATTTTATTTTCTGGCTTTTTTAGCTCATCTCTTTTGCTAAAGTTAAGGTCATCCTCTTTTAAAAACTTTTTTCCTGGCCATAATTTATTACTTGGTACATGTCTGTAATCAATTTTATTTTTGGCGGTTTCTTCATATCCAAATAATATAAATTTTATTAAACGATCACAATCAGCAAGTATTAAACTTTTCATAAGATTATATCGAATATCTAATAATCTGAAATTTTCTGGTTCATATTTAGCAAATTTCCAGATTATATGTTCGATATAGTTAGTCAACCTCTTATACTTTTTATTAATAAGAAGTGTTAATGAGTGTTAATAGTATTATTTCCAAAAAAAAAAACAATAAACTTTAATTAAATTCTTTCTTGTTTAACTTACTTTATAAATATCTGCATCGCCTTTACTTTTATAACGTTTTCTTATATGTTCTAACGCTTTGCAAGCGTGTCTTGCTACATGAGATTTTTTAATAACATCTTTCCCTTGAATCACTTTTTCTCGTATTTTTATATTTAAATAATTATTTGTTATTTCTTGTCTTTTTTCCTCTTTCTGTTCTTCGTTTAGGTAATTATCTTCATTAATCAGAATAATTTTTCCTAATTTTTCTTTCATTATTTCGTCATGCTCTGTCATTTTTGTAAGTTTTTCCGGTTCTAAACTATCATTTCTTTCAATCCAATAAACCTTTAAATAAAAATCATTTATTTTACTTTCTGATACATAATCTGGTCCATATTCAAAATCTTTAATTCTTAATCTCGTTATTTCTCCTTCTTGCCATATTGGAATACGGTTTGACCATATATATTCAAGAAAGGCTTCCCCTTTGTTAGGAAGCTCATCTTTGTTTTTACAATCATCATTTATTTGATGCCAAATTTGAATAGTCGACCTACCAACAATAAGTTGTAAAGTTTCTGTTTCTGTTCCTTTTTCACTATAATAAAGACAATAAGAAGTCCTTTCACTACCACCCGGTAACCATGGTTCTCTGTCATTAACTTTGAAATTTATATTTTCATCGTAATATATAGTACGATTTGTATCATATTTCCCATTCGCACTTCTTAAAATTTCTTCTAAATCTATATTTGGATCTGCAGCTTTATCTAATTTTTTCCTATTGATTTCTTTTTCAACTTTTTTAAGAACCGATGAAACTTTTCCATCATCATCGATTTGTAAAATATTTCCTGAAGTTATGGCTAAACGAGTGTAAATATCATCTATATTAGCTTTAGTGATTGGAAAATCGTATAACTCCACTAATTCATGTTCGCCGGTATTGTACAGATCCCAAATTATAAACTTCAGCACTTTTTTGTCTTCCTTATATTTGGTACTTTCTTGATCTTTGCCTTTTTTTAGATCTTGGCCTTCGCCTATTATAAGTAAATTTTCATCACTATCAATAAATTCCAACAAATAAATTTTTTCTAGTTCTTCAAATTTTTTTGATGCGATTTCCAAACCATTTTCTATATGAAATAACCTAATAAATTTAAAATTAATAATGTAAAATTACGCACCAATCAAAAATTATTAATAACTTGTAACAAACAACTTACTTAACAATATTAACTTGAGTAAAACAAAGTTGTAAACTACTAACTGAAAAAAAATAATCATTATATTCATTTACGATATTTTCAACAAGTCTTGCACCGATTAAATGCTCCATTTTTGCCAGATCATAAACTAAAAATTATATCATATTAATAATATATTTTTAACATTAATCTGACGAAATAAATAAACAATTACCTTCAAGCGATTGCACGTCATTATTATATCGTGTAACCAAAAAATATTTATCATAAATACACGAAAGAAGTCTACTCATACAATTAGCAAATTCAGCAAATGTATACCAATTATCTAATATAAATCTAATATTTTGTGGATATTCAAATTTTTCATTCAATTTCAAAAAATCATAATCATCATCAAATTCAATATTATACATTCCACGGAAATTCAATATTATAAATCTACTCAGTTCAGAATAATGTGAATTGTATTCACTTGAATCATCTTTACTTAAATCATCATCATTTGAAGCTTCAATGAATTTACATATTCCTGAAATTTTGTTATAATGATAACAAGTCACAGCGCTAAGACCATAATTTTCTTTTTCTTTTTCCTTCTCTTCTTTTTCCTTCTCTTTATTTTCCTTCTCTTCTTTTTTCTTCTCTTCTTTTTTCTTCTCTTCTTTTTTCTTCTTTTCTTTTTTCTTCTCTTCTTTTTTCTTCTCTTCTTTTTCCTTCACTCCATTTTCCTTCTCTTCGTTTTCATCCTCTCCATTTTCATTCTTTTCTTTTTGACATTTATTTACGAATTCAATACGATAAATAACGATTCCTTTTCTACTTTCATATGTTGTGTTATCTGACGGTATATTTTCATGCCCGTTAGTTATATCTATTCTTTTTTCATGTTCGTTAGGACATTTAAATATCTTTTTGCTAAATTGTTCTCTTTCATAGCCAGATTTCCCATTATCATCCTTTTTCTGCTTATCGTTTCCTTTCATATCCTCATTAATGTTTATGCGGGATACGGCAACAAAAATAAAATATTTGCCATTATTCTTGTGCATATTTGATATATCAAAAGACCATCTAAAATTATCTTCACTTGTTCCTTTTTCATCCCAGTCTGAAGAGCCAACGCTGTTGCCATCAAATGGAGGAGGGTCATGGTCGTAGAGCTTATCAATACTAAAATCATCTCTTATTTTAAAATAAGCGATTGTTTTATCAATTTCGACGGATTCTTCAAATTCATTTTCATTTCTGAAATTCTTTTTCTTGTTGAATATAAATGGACGATAATCAGTATTCTGCAATATTTTGATCAAAAGGTTTGCTATTTAATTTTTTTTAAAAAAACTTATCAATATATATTTAAGTCGCATAATTATTTACTACTAATAAAACTCATGTGTTTTTTTTTACCTGTATCGAATGTAGCAGCAAATCTTCCATCTTGACAAAGTTCAATTTGATAATCTTCCTTATTCATAGTGATATCATCTTTTTCATAATTTATGTTTATTTCGTTGGCTTCCATGTTTTTTGTTAAAAAAGTTTTTTAGCTAATAAAAATATAACCTCATTTTTAATTTAAGAAGAGATGAAGAAAGTAAAATCCGTGAAAGTACTCAATTTATTTTAAAAAAAATCTAATCTTTAATCTGCAGTAACACGGAAGGCTCTGAGTAATATAATAAATAGTTAACAAGAGAATCGGTACTCATTATTAGCACTACGCATCTCTTCAGGGCCAGAATTATGTAATTCCACCTGGCATTATCCAAAAAAGAAGGATTTACGCGTTTAATTTTTTTATTTAAAAATCTAAATTAGTAAAACAGCGAAAGTAGGATTTAACCATAACTGAAAATTTTGCACGTCGGTGATCATAATGCAGACTACATGCATGCATACACGACAAAAATGTTCATCAGAATGAAATTATAATTTTTTTTTCTTTGAAAAAATCAAATTTGGATATGATCGACCCGGAAAAAAAAACGGAAAAAAAATCCTGCTGTATTAAGAATCAGGAAAATATTTTATTGTTCTTTTTTAAGAAATTTTCAATGAAATGATAATCAGTAGTTAAAGATCAAGATAAATATTAAAAAAAAAAAGTCCATTTTAGATAGTTGTCGCCTTATTTGAGCTCGAAAGTATAAACGTTTATCGTTATTTGTAACAATGATGATAATGATACATTCGAAAAATCTTTTGTTTGATGAACAAGAAAAAATCGCGAAATAAAAGAAATAAAACAGAATAATTATAAGATTGATTTCTTTCCCTTTGTTTAAAAAATCTGGTATTTTTTACCGTTTCTTTTACATATGTTTAGAAAAATTCATGCAGAAGTTTTTTTTAGTTTTTTATTATTTTTTACCAAAATTGTTTAGATGTCAAATATGGTTTCAGCCTCAAAGTATCACAAATTCACAAAATTCTATTCATTAATTAAAAAAAAGATTACATGATCGTCACATGATATGTACTCTAAGGCATCATCACCGCAGAAAAATGATATAACCCAGAAAAATTCTTCGATCACGTGATCTGTTTTTATTTATCACATTGTCACGCCCTGTCCGAGTTTCACTGTTTATATTTATCTGAGGGACTTAGATTTTTTCAAGTAGATGAAATTCTATTTGTCACGTTTTATTCATCACATCCTAAATTCTTCGATCACGTGTCAGTGCATAACGCCGGCCGAGTTCGAAGAATTTTCTGGGTGCCGTTGGGGTAGTTGAAAAATGTCACGTTCACGTGATTTGATGTCGATCATTCTAAATTAATTATGTTAATAGTACCTGCGTTACTTGTTAATGATACCAATATAATACGTTTTATATTTGTAACATATCATTCACTGCGCATGTAATAAAATTTAAGGGCAAATTTTTCTGTATAGTTATTAATATGGTTTATGTATGTAGATCAAAATCGGCTAAAAAAATTTTTTTTTTTTTTACGGCCGCACGTTGTTTATTAAACTTTATTAAATTCTATATACTAATTATAAATAATCGGCTAAAATAAATTTTTTTTGGTCAAAATTGATGATTTCGAAATCATAATTCTGGTCAAAATTTTCCTTAATTCAGGCCAATTTTATAATGCCGGCCCAAATTTGATAAAAATTGAAAAATTAAGGTCAAATGTAACATCGCATTTATATAAAATAACCTTCAAACTAAATATAGAAAATAATACTTCTTGACGACATCTAAGAGTGTATTGAATTTCTTCAAATGCTTTTTGTTTTTTAAGGTGAATCTTAACTAGAAGTTAGTACATTTTTTTTTGCAAAAAATAAGGAATTGAAATTTGTCAAATATAGTAAATAATTTAAAACTTCAGTAAGTATTTTATATAATTTTATAACAAAAAAAAGCTTGAAAAAAATATTAACTCAAGTAAATTTTCAAATAAACCCAGAATCTATAAAGAAAAAGTTTCCTTTTTTTCATTTATTTGTATAATAGTATTATAAATTCTTTATTATTTCAATGATTTTATTTACAAAACAAACTATTTTCTTATTTAAAAAACAATTTGAATATTAAAAAAAAAAAAAATTTCGTGATGAAATAAATAGGAATCTAATATTAAAACATGATTGGTCAAAAGTGGATTTACTAAAAATAATGAAAATTTTGTAGTTTTTTTTAATTTAAAACAAATTTCTTATCCAAAAATAAATCTAATAATACTCTTTCCTTCTTTTTTTCCTATAATAAATAAAATTTTATCATTATTTCATATTAAAAATAGAGAAAATTCGATAAATTCAATAATAAACAAAAATCTAATTGGGTGATCGATCTTATTAACTTAATAAAAGCTGTTTCTTTTGAAATGTTACACCTAAAAATAAAATATTTATTATTAGTTAAAGGATTTTCATTAAATTTTATTGAAATAAAATTCTTTTTTATTAAAAAAATCATTTTTTTTTTGTGTTTATACAAAACCTACCTGAATACTAACTACCATTAAACCCTTAAAAAATCTTTTTCTCTTGCAAAATTACATATATTCTTGTTATTAAAACTATATATTTATCCAAACTTTTAAAAGGATCTCAAAAAAGTTCATTTTTAACGTAAACTTCTTTGTATATGCGAAGAGAAAATGATGGAAAAATAATTTCAGAGACTAGTATAATAAAGGAGTTGGTTAGTTGTAAATTTACGATTAAGGAAGTAGAAATCAACGTCAATCACATTTTGGTAGATGAATATAGCTTAAGGTGGAATTATATTCCGATAGAAGGAGCGTATATATTTTGGTTTAAAGAATTAAGTTATAATATCACCAAGATAGATTTAATGCTTTTGGACTATGTCAAAGATTGTTTCATCAACTCAAATGGAAGTAATGCACTCATAGATTGGACGAAATCCTTTAAATTAATCAATAATGAAATCACGACGTCTAGAAATGTTACAAATAGGGAAGATGCGGCGATAAGGTGTTTTAGAGTTAAAGAATTTTTGTGGTGTTGTGGATGCAGAAAGTATGGGGAATACCAAATAAGGAGTGTTTACGTTGTGCAATAGAAGAGGAAACGTGGGAACACATATGGATTTGTAACAAAAACGACGCAGGTGATACAAGATATAATGGACAAGGACCAAAAGAATCAATGGAAAGAAGATTTATGGGAAGTAGCTGCTACAAAATCAATGATCATGGGTCCGGATTTACGTTAGTCATCACTTCGTTTTATTATACGAAGATTTTGGTATGGAGAGATTCAGTGGAATTAGTTTTCAGCTAAATTTCAATGTATTTTTTTGTATTTATCAAGTAATTTGTTCTCCTACATTTACAGAAATAAAAAATACGTTTATCAATTAAAAAAAAAAACTTCAGAGACTAGTAAAGCACATGATATTTATGGCGTACCGTACAATTCAAAAGCATGTTGTAAACTCGACGTCACTTGTTATAAAACAACATGCCACTTTCATACAATGATAAATGGAAATCAAATCTTTTAGATTCCATATATAACGTCTTACCGATTATCTGGGGTTTAACATATCACATCACTTTTTTAAATGCGAAAAAAAAGTATTGTTTTTAAATTTAATTAAAAAAATAAAAAAATTTTTTTTTTCATAGAAAATTCATTGGAGAATTTTTAATAAATGATAGATAATTTTGTTAGAAAATTTTTTTAACAGAAGAGATTTTTTTTTAATAGGGAGATAAATTATTTCGCTGANTCTTTTTTTTTTTTTTTTTTTTTGATAGAAATTTCACTGTAGAATTTCTTTTTAATAGGAAAGATTTCTTTTTTTTGATAGACCATTTCATTAGTAAATTTTTTAACAGGAAATTTTTTTTTTTTAATAGGAGAGAAATTATTTTTGATATAGAAATTCTTTTGAGGATTTTTTTAATAGGAAAAAATCTTTTTTAAATTTTTTTTTTTAATAGGGATTTGATGGAAGATTTCGTTAGAAATTTTCTTTAATAGTAATAAATGTTTACAATCAATTAAAAATTGAAAAATCAAAATTTTATGTCACATTTTCTCGTAGAGATTATAAATTTTGAATTAACATATGGGCGGATGTACTGTAACTCATTTCCATATTATCATCGATGTGATATTTAAAAAAATTGTATTATTTACATGTGATTACCTCGTGATAAACACCGTCAAAATAAATGCAACACGCCCCCTTATTAATAACGTCTCCTCTTATTTTGACAAGTCTCTTTCCAAAGTTAATCATACTCCGATCCTATTCTTAATGTTAAAAGTTGTTTACTTTTATGTGTATTCAAAAAAGGAAGGCGAATATATTTTAAAAAGGAAATAAAAAATTTTTAAATTGACAAAGTAATAACCGGTAAGTTTAAATTGTAAAATATTTTTTGAGTATACTTGTGTCCTAAAATTTTTTATACAATATTCTAACAAAATGAATTTTATTAGTCTATTATGTTTCGAAATCCTTTAAGTGACCATGAAGTTCCGGATAATATATTGCAGTTTCAAACTCCTATTATTTGTGACTACTTTCAAAAAACTCCAAATGAAGAACTTATTTTAGTTAATGACGAAAATACACAACATTCCTTTTTCCATAATTATCCTACTAGTCCATATATTCATGCTAATAGAGTATTTGGTGGTAAAAATTATCCTCAGTCATATAAAATAATATCTCTTGGTCAATACCCTACAAGAGTAATTTATACTAGAAAAGAAAAGGGAATAAATTATAAGGTTCCAAATAATTATCAAGTAGAAACAGTATTAAATGGATTAACAGTTTTGTGCAAAACACAGTATCAATTTTCACGTAAAATTGTAGTTAGATATACTGTTGAATGGACGGATGAAAATGGCCAAATAAGATCAAGTTACAGTTTGTCATCAGCTGGAGCTGCAGGTTCTTTATTTTTAAAAGTAAGTTTGATGATTTTGTACAATTAAATTATGTTATATTTATCACTTTTATATTCTTTATTTATTATAGGAAATATGTAATAAACCTAATTCACGAGTTTCTGGAACAACACTTTTTGGTTTAGACACAAGTTTTTTACAACAAATCCGCGAAATTATTGCTTCTCAGCCACAACAAATACCTGCTAATCGTAAACGATGTTTTACTGAACTTACATCACAATCACAAAAAAATAAACGCATTTCAATGATTGGAAAGGAGATTGCTACACAAACTTTAACAATTCTCAAAGAAAATAAATTCACCTCATCATCTGAAGAAATTATTGCAAGTCTTGAAGCTATAATTCTTAAAATTAATGGTGAAATAGTTGAATTGAATTTTCATTCTGACAATATAACTGATTTTACACAACACTTAGATTCAATTATTCGTGCCTGTGATGAAACATTAATTTCGCGTGATAGTTATCGCAGATTAGCCAAAGCTGTTCCAAATTTAATAAGAGAATATGTAATTGAAAAACGATGAAATGAAATTACAAAAACAATGAATTCACTTATCCCAATCAAATCATTTAATATTAATAATGTTAATTTTGATGATGACAATGATGATGGGAATCAACAAGATCATATTAGTGGAATAGAATTTAATGATGATGATGTAGGTAATGGTGCATTTCGATCTATTATTTCTCTATTAGACATTATAATTCCTATTTTAACAACTTCAACACCGCCTGTTTTAAAAATTGGTGATAAGATTAATATAAAATTGGGTGGAGATGGGAGAAATGTGGGGCGAAAGCAAAAGCATGTAATGCTTACTATGTGTATTCTTAATGAAGAAGAGGCAGTTTTAAGTCCTGCTCATCAATACAGGTATTATATATGCCTTTAATTTTTAATATTAAGTATTGTTACATATTACTGTGAATGTTTATTTAATTAATATTTATTTTATGTAGTATTTGTTTATATTTAGGAAAAGAATCTTATGATTCTTTATCTATTGTATCGGCCAAATTTTCACATGAACTTGAACAATTAAAGACTAATGGATATAAAGATTCAAATAATACAATTTGGCCCATTGAATTATTTTTTTCGGGTGATTGGAAATTTGTAGCATTAGTTCTGGGAATAAATGCTGCAACATCCAATTACTTTTGTTTATATTGTAATTGTCATAAAGATGAGATAGAGATATAATATGGATAAAGTATGGTTAAATTCAAAAAATACACACGGTATGTATATGGAATTAAATGTATATTTTTATTTAATATATAAATTAATAATTAAATTTATTATAGGATGTAAAAATGCAATGCTTTTTCAAGAAATTGATCAAAATAATTGGATTATTGATGAATTGCATCTTATGTTGCGGATCTCTGATGTACTTTTTCAATGTTTATTTTACGAACTTATCAAAAAAAAAGATTTTGCAAATAATACACAAATATTGATAATTGCAGAAATGAAAAGGCTGCATGTTCATTTTGAATTTTACCCTCCTACTACGAAAAATGGAAAATGGGAATGGACATCTCTTATGGGTCCTGACAAGGAAAAGATATTGAAAGATTTTCAGATAAAACATCTTTTTGATGGACAACAAGCTACAAGAGGACAAGATATTGAGCATCTTTGGCGTGAATTTTATTGTCTTTATAAATTAATGCATCAAAAATCTATAACAGATGAGGAGATTGACCAATTTGAAGCTGATGCAAAGCAATGGATTCGTGATTTTTGTCGTCCTACTATTGGTAATATGAATAGTGCTAATCAACAAGAAGGAATGTATTTGCGCACAGATGTTACTCCATACATGCATGTATTTGCTCAGCATGTGCCTCAATTTATGCGATATCTAAAACAAAAAGGGATGGTATTGCGGCATTTTTCAACATCAAGTTTAGAAAAAAAAAACCATCAACAGGTAAATTTAAGCAATTTTTATCTAATTTCACAATTTGTAATTTTATTTTAAATTAATTATCATACTTTTATTTTAGGTACGATTATTTTTTGGAGGAACAACAATGGGTGGAGGAAAATCAAAAAAAACCCGTAATTCACGATATTCTCTGTTATGAAAACCGGCAATTATTCTATCATATACATAATACTCCAATTAAATAAATATACACGAAAAACAATGGAAATAAAGCCTAGTAGCTTTATAAGGTAAAATCATGTATTTCTTATTAATAGTGTTGGCGGGTGAAATGATGTCGTATGGTGATGATAAGATATACGAACTTTTTGTAAATACTCTAATAATGTAAAAATCATGTAAATAAAAAAAAAAATTTTTTGTTTTATCTTGCTTAATTTGTACAATTTTAATTAATTTTATTTCTAATTTTAAATTTCTATTTCTAATTTTTTATTTACATTCTTAAGTGTTCTAAAATTATTATATACATAAATAAAGAGATTTTCAATTACCTTCTACAAAATCTCTTACATCAACATTAAATTCAAAGCGCATTGAACCACAACGTAGATGCATATCAGGATCTTTGTATACACGTTCTTTCCAACAGAAAGTTACATCATAGGTTTGTTGCATATTTTGCATCAAAACATATGCACACGTACCCGTCCGTCGCTTTTTACTACCCCAGTTTTTATTTTCAAAAAGAATACCTAGTCGTTCATATCCCTGACTACCTTTGAACTTACAAGTATACATTCTTTTTGCTGGTGAATATTGAAAGTTGGTTAATTATAAAATAAAATAATGAAAAGTCCTTCGGAAAAGGGTTCCATTTTTAATGTTTTTACTCGAGGTTCACTTCTATGAAATTGTAAACGTGCCTTTAACTGCATTACAAAAGATTGTTTAAAGTGGTGAATATCATATAAAGATGGAGAAGTTAGACATTGTGAGTGAGGTATTATTTTATTATTTGGGTGAACGGCCCTTTCATGAATAAAAAGTGAGCTTTTAGATGAAAAAGTTTTGGGAGAATTAGCAGGACAAAGAAAACAAGTAAATGGCATTATATATGGAACGCGTATAAAACAAAAAATTTCATACTCGCGTTTTTTACATCATTTAATTTTATCAAAAATTTATCAAAACGCAGTTTCTTATTCAGGCAATATGTAAGTGTTTTAAAAAACCAATCAAATTCTATATTTGATGTGATATAAAATTGATGGGGCGTGAATGCATATTATTTGTTACGGGGGTGATGTTGTTGAGTCAAATCCGCCCATATGATCTTATTTAATGCATCGCGATTAACCTATTTGAACACGTGATCGTGATTGACATTTTAATTTACTTTATGGAAATAATTTTAGCCGGTGTAATGCCGTAGTATACCTAGTAAATTTATTAATTGTGGGGCGCAGTATTACATTTAGTCTTAGTGTATAAAATTTTAACTTATTTTTATTTTTATTTTAATTGGACCGAGAAGTCGTTAAACTAATAATCACATGGATTAAGGTAATTGGTCCGTGATGACCTTAAACTATTAGTCACGAGATCTAAGGATAAATGAAGATCCGAAAGATACTAAATTGAATGAAATCAAGTGATCTGAGGTGTCAAGTGATTAATTTGTTGATCACTACGTTAATATT